AAAGAAAAAAAAAAAAAATGAACCATTAAGTATAAAGAATAAATTAGTAAAGTTAATAAATTAGAAATAAAAAAACAAAAGAAAGATTTTAAAGATTTAAAAAAGAAAGAAAGAAAGAAAGAAAAAAGAAAAAAAAAAAAAAAAATGGTGAAAAGAGAAAAAAAAAAAATTATGAAATAAATATATATGTAAGTAAAGAGATTTTGAAAAATATGAAAGAATATAATTAGAAGAGTTTTATTGTGAAAAAAAAAATGAATATCATGAATAATGAAAAAAAAAAAAATTTAAAAAAAATGAGATATTTTGAACATTAAAAAAGGAAATAAACAAATGATAACAAATATCAACAATAATAATAAATTTAATTTTTGAAATTTAATGAATAAAAAATTTAATATAGCTAATTTTAATTACAATATTTAAAATTTTTTAAAAATTGGTTTTCTTTTGAAGTCTTTAAAAAAGAAAAATAGTGAAATGGTCTGTTTGTATAAATGGAATTTTAAATTGTTAAAAAAAGAAAAGTTATCAATAGAAATTCAAAGAGTTTGAAAAAAAAGTTTTTTTTAAAATTATAAAATGAAATAATTTCTTTGATTGTTGAAAATATTTTCCAAGAGGGTTCAAACATTTGAGTCTAAAAATGGAAAAATTTTATATTTTTTTATGCATAGGTTGAAGGTGGAAATCCTAAAAATAAAAATTTACATGAAATATGAAAAATTTTTCAGGAAATGACCAATTATGGTTTTTTAGAAAAAATTTTCAAAAATGCAGATGGCAAACGAAAAAAAATAATTCAATGATATATTTAGAAACAATTTTTAAATGTCGGTTAATAAAATATATAGAAAATTTGTTCATATTAACAGACAATTTAAAATCATTAATTTATAAATCAAAAATTTAAGAAAGACAAAAAATTTATTTAAATTATAAGGAAAATTTTAAAATTTATCATAAAATAAATAGATAATAAAAATATAAATAAAAAAATAAATGAAATTTACTTCATAGAATTTATGAAAAATGAAAAAAAAAAATAATATAATTTTTAATCAATAAAAAATTATATATATATAAATACATGATTCAAATATATTATAATAAATATATTTATCTTAGATTTAAAAAAAATAGATAGATTCCTCAAAAAAAGATTAAAGAATAAAATTTAAAAAAAAAAAAAAAAAAAAATAATATATATTAATTAAAACACCCCAAAATTTATTTTTTTTAATAACAATAAGAAAACCAAATCCTGAAACCTTTTTTTAAATGAAAAACCATCTTGAATTTTTTTTAGAAAAATATCAAGTTGAAATGATTATTTTAAAAATTTATCATAAACAAAAAAAATTTTTTCTAGAAATTCAATTTATTATTAAAAAAAAATGGAAAAACCGAATAAAAAACAAATTTCAATAAAATCTTTTCTTTAAAAAATAAAAGAATATTTTAATATAGAAAAATAAAAAAATTTTTTTCTTAATTTTTTTTTAAAAAAATTTAAATATATCCTATATAAATATATATTTTTTTATTTTTTGTTTTGTTTAAAAAAACTTTCTTTATGAGCAAAAATGCAGACTTTTTTCTTGATTTCTTCGAAAATCAAATTTTTTTTTTTTCTTTTTTTAAACTTTTGAATAGAAATTATTTTTTTTTAAAAAACTATGGAAAACAAATAAATATGAAAAAATTTTGGGAAATTGCGAAAATTTAAAAATTTGATTCCAAGAATGCTGAAAACACAAAACACACACACACAAATGACACACACACACAAAAAAACACAAAAAATCGTAAACGAACAATGTTTTAAATTTTAACTTTTAAAGAAATTCTTATTGAATTTGCCAAATAAAAAAAATTTTATCTTTAATTATTAAACATTTTTAATATTGCTATTACATATTTTTAACAACATTTATCTTTAAATTTCATTTTTTTGTTATTTTTCAAGTTTTTTGTAGTCTCATTCAAAATGTCTGCCATATTTTTGTAAACATGATCTTTATTTCAGGAGGTTCTACAATTGTTCATTCTCACAACGAGTATTTTAATTTTTCAAAATCAAAATACTTTTTTCTGCTTATTGTTTGAATTTATGAAAAAATTTGCGAAATAAATATTTAAAGGATACCAAATCATCATCAAAATATCAATTAAATAAAAACATTTAGAACTTTGAATATATTTCCATTTTTATTTTGTTCAAGAATCCCATTTTATCTCCAAATTAATGAACATCATTTATAAATTATTTAATAGATTGATTTTAATTTTAAGCTTGCCATAAACTTGTAAAAGTTCCTCATAAAATCATAGTGAATTTCAAATTTTGAAAATTTTAAATTAAAAAAATTCGTCAAATTGAAAAAATTTAACATCAAATATTTTTTATCGAAGATTGAATTGGAAAAAAAATTTTTAATTAATTTTTTTTATTATTATCAGATATCTATCGGGCCGGACAAAAAAAATTTCAAGGAAAAAAATGTGGCCCAAAAAAATGATTTTTTTCATTTTAATTATATTTGATTTTTTTTTTAATTTTTTTAAAAAATTTAAATTTTTTGTTAAATTTCAAATATAGCCAAAATTCTTTTTAAAGGGATAAATAAAATAGAAAAAAAAGATATATTAAAATATTGCATTGAATAATCTTTTTAAAATGATTAAATCTGGAAAAAATTTTGAAAAGCTAAAAAATCGAAACAGAAAACCCAAATTTTTTTTATTTGAATCAATGTCGAAGCATTAAAAAATTTTTTGATGGAATTGATTTTTTGTTTTCTTTTATTATATATTTTTTAAATATTAACTGAATATTTTGAGGCCAAAATATAAAAAAATTTAACCCTGAAATCATTCTTAATATTAAAGTAAATGGTTCATATTTTATTTAATTAAAAACGTAGATGAAAAAATTAAAAAAATTCTAAACAATAACTTTTTCCAAAAAGGTTTTTTGATTTGAAAAAGGGTTCAAAGGAAAATAAAACATGAAAATAGTTATTTAAAAGAATTTTGAATTTTTCGGGGTAAAAAATGTAAAAGGATTGATTTTAGGAACAAAAAAAAAATATGACAATCAAAGAATCCATTTTTTTTCCTTTTATCTTTCTATTTTGAAATGAAAAAAAATCCAAAAATTAAAAATTGTTTGAAATTTTTTAAAATAATTAAATAATATTTTTTGTTTTTGATTTAATTAAATGAATTCAATTTTCTTATTATTGAATAAGTGAAACAATAAATAATTATGAATATATATATAAATATATTATATTTTTATATTATATATCAGGTCATCCCATAAGTTCTGTCCGAATTTTAACTTTTTTGTTAAAATGAACGAAATTTAAAGAGTATTTTATAATGTCTAATGGAGCTGAACATTATTTTTTATGTTTAGATGCATTTAAACTGATCAAATTTTATTTCAGAGAACAATAAAATTAAATTTTGTTTGATTAAAACCCTGCTAACATGGAAGTACCCAAGAATCATTTGAGGCACATAATGCTTTATGAGTTCAAGAAAGGAAACTCAGCAGCCGAAGCGGCTAGAAACATTCACTCAGTTTATGGAGAGGAATGTGTGAATGAAAGAACTTGCAGAAGATGGTTTGCAAAATTCAGAGGTGGAGATTTCACCCTTGAAGATGAAGATCGAACCGGACGTCCAGTTGAGTTTGATGAAAAGCTTCTTGAAGCAGCCCTTGAAGAAAATCCTGCTTTATCAGTTGAGGAATTGGCAGTGGTTCTCAGTTCAAACCATACAACTGTTCATCGTCATCTTCAACAACTTGGAAAAGTTCCTAAACTTGGAAAATGGGTGCCTCATGAATTGTCTGAAAACAACCTCAAATCCTGAGTTGACATCTGCTCTTCTCTCCATTCTCGCCAACTTGTTTCACCTTTTTTGGATAGACTTGTGACTGGCGACGAAAAATGGATCTTTTATCGAAATGTTAAGCGTCGTAGACAGTGGCTTGGTAAAGGGAAGGACCCCAGCCACAGCCGAGAAGGGAACTTCATGGGCAAAAGGTTCTTCTTTCAATCTGGTGGGATTGCCAAGGAATAATTCACTTTGAATTCTTACCACCTAATGCAACAATTAATGCTCAAATATACTGTCAGCAATTAGAGCATTTGAACCAAGCTTTGAGGAAAAAAAGACCTGCTCTAGTGAATCGAAAAAGGTGATGTTTCATCAGGACAATCCATGACCCCACACAGCAACAATCACGTCACAAAAGATCAAAGAACTTGGTTGGGAGAAAATTCCTCATCCACCTATTCTCCTGATCTTGCTCCTTCAGACTACCATTTGTTTCGTAGCTTACAGAATCATTTGGAAGAAACAGCTTTTGTAATACAGGAAGAGGTTAAAACTGACATTTGTGAGTTCTTCGAATCAAAGCCAAAAGAATTTTACAGTAATGGAATTAAGCTTGTTAATAGATGGAAGGAAGTCATAGATAATCAGGGAAAATACATTGTTGATTGAATCTGTAATTAAATGTAACATTTGGTCACTTGTTTTCTTTATTCAAAATTCGGACAGAACTTATGGGATGACCTATATATATATATATATATATATATATAAAAATTTAATCATATATATATAGCATCTAAATATATTTTGGTTATTACGAATATATTTGTTTTCCTAAATATAAAATAAAATATTTAAATAAATTTTTATATTAATATTTTTTAAAATATCAAAAAACTTATATATTTATATATTCATATGAAATATAAATTTTTTAAATAAACTTTTCTAAAAAATTAAATAAATATATAATGGGAACCCTTGATATAAAAAAAAAAGAACGAATTTTGAAAAATATTAATTGATACAGATGAAAGACAGTCAGGTCTAAAATATATTTATCAATTATATAGATCAAAATTTGTTCTGAATCTTCAGATATACAAAAAAATATAAGTTATCGTTAACAGATCAGAAAACGTTTAATATGTTGTTTTGGGTCTATAATCATGATTTTTTATAATAAGAAAATCCTGAATAAAAAAATAAGATTTGAGGCTACAAAAAAGTCATCAAATACAACGCAATTGTTAAATCGAAAGCTAAAATCCAATGAGTTTATTGTCTTCAATAAATCTAAGTTTCAAATATAACAAATTATATCATTCAGAATTTTGCAATTAGATAAAAGGACAGTTTTTGATTTTCATTTTCAATAATAAAATTTTAATTTACCCCATATATATTCCTCTAATAATATATATATATATATATATATATCATCTTTATTAAAATTCAAGCAAATTCCATCAATCAAACAGAATCTACATTTAGCATTTTTTATTTTTCTTTGTAATGAACTTTTATATCTTTTTCATATATATCAAAACGATATATGAACATATTTATCATTGAACATTCAAAGCCTTGAAATAAGATAAAAATGAACATGTTTTTAATTTATAATAGCATAATGGATACATATGAAATTAAATTCGAGACTCTTGATGAATTTAAACATAGATACATTTACATACTTAGATGATGAAATCCTATTTAAGTATGAAAAATATATTTAATTTATATTTAAAGAAATTATTTTCCTTTGAAATTGTTATTCTAATATTTGAAATTCTTTTCGAATTTACATTTCTGATAAATGAAACAAATATAAAATCCTTGAAGATATAATCCATATTATTATATTTATAAATAAGATTTTTGTTTAATTGATATACTGGATTTAAAAATAGATTTAATTAAAGCTATTTTAAATTCCAGTCGAGATATATTACAAATTGAAAAAAAAATATAAATAGGAAAAATTTGAATTTTAAAGATTTTAGAAATAGTATTAATGGATATGAATGAAAAAAAATTGAGGAATCGGAATTGTAGAGTTGAATTCCACAATAAATCCATTACATTCACTTATAATGCAAAAATCCTTTTTAATTTGTATGAATAAATAGAAGATATTTCGGAGGATAATGGATATTTATAAGA